ACAATTTTACTTTTATTTATATTATATTCTTTAACTGCATTTTTCGCATCTAATTTTCTTTTCTTTTTAAATATAATAGACGATTTAGAACAGTAGAAGATCTTTTTTAATTAGCAATCAAATGTATGTGGAATAATACCTTTTCTCTAAATAAGTCTTTTTAGTCCCATTAACTTAAATTGAACATAATTTTCAAACTGAAAAAATTAATATGAAAATATTTGCCAATTGTCACTAAAAATAATCTAAAATTTAAAAATAATTTAGGTAATAATATGTAAGTCATACAATTATAACATTAGGGCCAAGACCGTAAGACTATAATTAATGATACAAAATAAGTCATCTACCCAGTGGATATTTAAAAATAATGATTTAAAACATTATTTTAATCTATAGATATATTATATGTATAGAAATATTAACTTATAAGTTATAGGTACTTAATATCTTACATCAAAATGATCTTCGCAGCAAGATAAGTGTGATTTATCAGAGACATTTTTCTTGGCATGTCTTGCAGCTTTCAACCAATTTCTTCTTAATTTTTTGGACTCTGGGACATTTGAAAATATTTTTTCAAGTATAATTGCGGTTGCGTTTTTACATGATGGAAAAATGTAGTATTTATAAACGAACTTTTTAGATTTGTCTGTCATCAATTTAACAGTATTTAACATAATTGTTAAATTCCGTACTTTAACTTTTAAAAAATAATAAGTAAGTTTAATTGAATAATTGGCAGTACAAAATAATTATAAGAACGTAGAACGTAATATAAACTTTTTAATCATAGTGCGTTTTTTTAAATGATATAAAAATTAAAAGTGTGATTAGAATAGAAAAAAAAAATAATACGTTAATCGAGACTGGGGATACGTGATAAAAACATTCAGAGTGATGTCATAATTAAATGGCGATAAACACCCGCGTTTTAAAATGTATTATCTTGGCTCCTACTTTTCAATATTCCTAAAAGTGATTAAAATTATTTTTTTTGTTTGCGTCTTTGAAAACTAATTTTGAATATTAAACCAGACATCTTACATACTGTTTTACTAAATATTTAAGTACTTGTTCAAATGCTAATTGCGTTTTTGTTATCACCGATGGTTGATACCACGTCTTAATTAAATGTAGGTATTATAGATCAAACGAACAAGTTGCTGTCTTATTCATAAAAATAGATCGCGCCGCCACTGATTTAAAATAACGTTTGTGTGTGCGTCGTCGTCGGAGAATGCCGCTATAGTATACCGGTACATCAAAATAATAATATTCTGTACAAATTCGTTTGGTTGTACCCGAAATAACTGGTATAAACTTCTCCTTGAAAATAATACCAGTATAAAATATAGGAACTCATTGGTGATACAATGTTTTAATACTCGCCAATATTTGTATCTCGCGTGTATTATTACCTCGGTAGGTATAAATCGCCGACAGTAAGACCGGGCGCACATTGAGACGCAGTGTAGTTTTCTGTAATTTATTAGTTAGAACGTACTGGCGCATATCAGTCAGGGCACAGTGGAGTAGTACTGCATCTATGTCGGCCTGTCTTAGTTTACTGCACACGTGCCACCCGCTTTTGGAAAACATACGTAAAACGACGGCCTAAAATATTTTAAACTTTTTAATTTTCATTCGACATTCACACAATTTGTTTTTTTTCTTCATTGGTTAGTTATATAATATATTAGATCGATTATAATTAGAATGTTAATATACATTCTTGATCATTGATTATAAATACTATAGATCGCTCTCTTTAGTAGAAAATACGGTGCATGCTAAATGGCGGATGCCACTACAAAAGTACGTTTTTTCTTGCGCGATTGCGAATGCGGTCAACGAAAGCGATTGAGGAACTAAGATCACGGTTGCGGTGTCTTGATTTATTTTAGACGATTCTATGTTGCGATCCAGAGATTTATATTATAATATAAATAATTTAACATTCATTTGTACTCAATACTTCGATGTGCTAAGTGCAGTATTCCACATACTGCTCGATTAAAAAAAATATTAGTATAGGTATATTAAATACAGAAATCTTGAAAATTCTTTTACAAGCAGAAGATGATGATGAGGTTTTACTCTGGTATCTGTCAGAAGAAAAAATGAGTATGATTCATTATTTACAAAGAAAAGTACCAAAGGTTGTAATTAAATACTTATCAAAGGCCATCTGAAAAATAATGAAATAAAGTTCATGGAATATTTGAGAATAAATCGTGATCAGTCCGATTTTATTTTGAACCTAATAAGAGATGATTAAACATCGTCTTCAATTTTATTAAACCTGGGCCATTGTAGAACTTAAATTTACTTTTGAATGACTGATGTCATCGGGTACTCGGTCATAAATGAGTACCTATCATATTATTGCATATTATTTGACATAACGCGGCTTATGTTAATGTGGACTTCCCCACTGCTCAATTATAAAATAATAATTATAGATAACTAGATTTAAATTTAAATTTCAGTTTATAATTACATATTATTTATTATTTTCAAAACAACTAGTCGATCGCGGTGCGAACTCTATTTGACTGCTCGAGAAGCAGTTCGTGAAGTTCGTGCGACGAACAAATTTACATCGCCGACTGCAATCACGCAAGGAATACCAAGTACATTTAATTTACATTGTACCAGCAGTCGAGATAACGTACCTTAGAGCGCTCTGCGTTATAACTAGTTATAGAGGGTGCCGTCATAATCGCTGGTAATTTACGAGACGTCGTTCTGGGCTCCCGGCGACAGCCAGCACCAAATCCAAATGACTAATCCAAATCATCAAGGCCGGGCATTAACGAGTTAAAAATTAAAATTAAGTTAAAATGTTAAGTTAATTAACTCGTTACTTTATTTTGAAATTAATTTATAAAATAAGTTTCCTTAGAAAACCAAATTTGATCATAATATTATACAGGCTATCGCGGTGAATGCTATCATACACTTTCTTGAAGTTTATAAAGACCTGTCATATATTTTGTCTGAACTCATAATTTTTTTTTTTTATCAATTATTCAGTTCGCGTTCGGCCTCCGTCGCGCACGCTGCTTGCGATCCGTCTGTATCCGTTATTTTATTCTGTATCTTGGTCTTATGTATCAATTTTATTAAATTATACTTAAAACTTACGTGTTTAAATAACTTGACTACGTAATGGAAATTATTATTTAATTTCTCTAATTATTTATAGTTGCTATAATTAACAAATATTCAACAAATATTTAATAATCTCATCGTTCATTTCCTAGTATTCATTATACCTTCTTCAACCCGCGTGCTGTCTTATCGCACGCCTCTGCGGCGGCAGTGTCTTCAGCTTATCGAAATTATAACTTATGCGTAAATCTACATCCAAAAATAAACACACAAATTCAGCCGTCGCCAAAACAAGCAATCATCTACAGCCTGCTCGTCTAAACATAGTTACCATGGATGGTTCTTCTTCAGGGAACTGAACCCTGGCATCAGCAAAAAATATAAATTCANAAAAATTATTTTTTACGGCTAACCGCTTTGAACCGCTTTCACAAGATGATCCAATGCCCACCACTTCAACTGGACCTACTCTAACGTTTCCTCAGGAGTCGAATCTAGATGGGAACATCAATGTCGGAGTCAAATCAACTCTACCCCCACTAATTTTTGTAAGAGGTGTAATCTGTTTTACCGATCTCTGCTCAGAACTCATCGAGCTAATTGGAGTAGACAAATTCTCCTGTAAATCCTCAGCTAACCGCCTAAAAATTATGACGACCAACCCAGCTTCCTATAGAACGCTGATCCATTTCCTCAAGGAACAAAAAGCGGAATATCACACATATTAGCTAAAGGAAGACAAACCAATACGGGTAGTCATCCGAAATCTCCATCCATCCACGTCCACGGAACTTATCAAAACGGAGCTCGAGTTGGGCTTATTTGAAGTACGTCAAGTAACTAGCGTACTACACAAAATCGATAAACATCCACTTCCGCTATTTTTCGTGGACCTCGAACCAACAATTCAGTCCTACGATATTTATAAGCTTAAATCTTTAATCCATACCAAAATAAAAGTGGAAGAACCATACAAATTAAAAACAATAAGCCAGTGTATCAATTGCCAGGATTATGGTCATACCAAATCGTATTGCGGGTATCCAGCTCGCTGTGTCCGCTGCGGTGCTCTCCACTCTTCTTCGGCCTGTCCAAACCCACGGGATCCTACTCCTAAATGCGCCCTCTGCCCCGGTGATCATCCTTCAAACTATAAAGGTTGCTCGGTTTACAAGGAGCTACAGCTTCGCAACAAACCAAAAATGAGCGGTCCTTTGCTGGGGAATCTTACTCATAAAAAAAATGTACAGGTTAGTCAACCAGTGGTAACACCCTTAGCATATTCATCTGACTCGTCTCAAACCTACGCGCAAGCTACTTCCGGTACTCACCCAAACAACATAATCCCTCCTCCTGTATCAGATATAAATAAGTTCCTTAATAAGTTCAAATTACTAATAAACCCGCTAATCGCTCTTCTCACCCAATTTATCTCAAAGCTTTTAGAAAAAAAACAATGTCTCCTTTCACAAGCAACTCCCTTCTTATCCTTTTATTCAACTCAAACGGTCTCAAAAATCATTCAAACGAACTCCAATTAGTACTTCATGAAAAGCGGATTGATATTGCCTTGATTTCTGAAACGCATTTTACAAAATACTCCCACATTTCTATACCTAGTTATCATCTCCTAAAAACTAATCATCCAGATAATACCGCTCATGGTGGTGCTGCAATTTATATTAAATCTTCCTTGTCTTTCCAACTCTTTCCAAATTTCTGTCAACCGCATCTACAGTCTTGTGCTATTTTACTATACCTCAACAATATACCAACAACCTTAGCAGCAATATACTCTCCTCCAAGGCATAATATAAATATTCAAAACTATATGGATTACTTCAGCACTTTTAGTCACAACTTTATCATAGGTGGTGACTTTAATGCCAAGCACCCTATCTGGGGCTGTCGTTCTAACAACCCAAGAGGCTCTGTTCTCTACAAACTTTATTAATCTTAAGGGCTACTCAATTCTCGCGCCTCCTGGACCAACATATTGGCCCACCTCTCCGCGGAAAAAACCAGACATACTGGACATATTTGTATCGAACACACCTCACAACTTATTCTGCGTGGCTACCAATCTCTTAGAACCCTGTTTAGATCATTCAGCAGTAATCCTGACTATCAGTGCCTGTCCTCCAGTCCGGCCTATCCTACCAAAACTCTTTCTCCATACTACTGATAGGCATAAATTCCACGACTTGGTCGATCAAAACATAAATCTCAAAATTAGTCTCAAATCTCCCCAAGAAATTGATGTAGCGATAAATAACCTAACAAATGTAATCCAATCTGCAGCTTGGGCTTCCGGTCCTACCAAAACTCATTATTCAAATGTTGCTTCGTCAGTCCCGGAATATATTCGCATCCTTATATCCATTAAGCGTAGAGCAAGGGCCCAATACCAACGCTCACGCCTTCCATCCCACAAACGTATTTATAACAATCTATCTAACTCACTGAAAAAAATACTCATCAAGCATAAAAATCAATCTTTTGAAAATCATCTCTCAAACTTGTCACCTAAGAATGGCAATCTCTGGTCAACTACCAAAATTCTTCTAAAATACAAACCTCCGCTCGTTCCCATAATAAATCCTCATGGTGGACTTGCAACTACCGATACTGAAAAAGCTGAGCTGTTTAAAGAACATCTAACTGAAACCTTCATGCCTCACCCGGATATACAAATACCTTCTCATACTGACATAGTAAATCGCTCACTCGTTTCCCCCTTTCTACTTTTCCCGCAGTTAAGCATTTCACTCCTGGTGAAGTCAAATTTACAATTCAAAAATACAGTCTCAAAAAATCTCCGGGGTTCGACCTGATTACTGCAGAAGTGGCCAGATCCCTCCCCAAAAGAGCCATTGTACTTCTCACAGTTATATATAATGCGTGTCTAAGGTTATCTTATTTTCCTATGCTTTGGAAATTTTCTGTAACGATTCTAGTTCCAAAACCTAACAAGCCTCCCGACGTCCCGACTTGTCCTCCTCCTACCGACCTATAAGTCTCCTCCCCTTCTTCAGCAAAATTCTCGAAAGATTAATTCTTAAAAGAATTCTTCCATGCATCTCTTCCAATTCCATATTACCTAATACACAATTTGGTTTTCGTACCGCTCATTCCTCAATACATCAGCTGCACAGACTAGTCGATGCTATTTCCTTCTCCCTTGAAAAAAAAAGTTATTGCTCCTGCGTTTTCTTAGACATTTCCCAAGCATTCGACAGGGTATGGCATGAAGGTCTGCTATATAAAATTAAACCCATAGTTCATCCTTCCTTTTACTTACTAATCAAATCTTACCTCGCGGATCGATATTTTCAGGTCAGAGTTGGCACATCCCTTTCTGGTTTAGCAAAGATTAGCGCAGGCGTTCCTCAGGGGGGCATTCTTTCTCCTCTATTATATAACATCTACGTTGCCGATCAACCCACCACTCCGAATACAGCTGTAGTGGAGTTTGCCGATGACAAGGCCATTATTTCTATCCATGATAATCCTCACACAGCTTCCCACAATCTTCAACTCCACCTTGAACTCATGGCTGATTGGTATAAAAAATGGCGTATCAAAGTTAATCAATCCAAATCACTCCATACAACATTCACTCTTCGTCTTACTCCCTGTCCTATGGTGTCTCTAGACGATATTCAAATCCCTTCCTCTCAAACGGCCAAATACTTAGGCTGAAAATTGATCGTCGTCTCACTTGGTCACATCACATAAAAACTATAAAACTTGCCCTAAATGCACGACTCCGCATCCTTAACACCCTAATTTCTAACAACAAACACACTCCATTAAATACTAAACTCTTAGTTTACAAATATCTGTTCAAGCCGATGAGGACCTATGGTCTTCAACTCTGGGGCAATGCCAAAATTTCTAACACTAATAAAATTCAAACTTTTCAAAATAAATTCCTTCGCTTAATTACAAATTCTCCCCCTTACATCTCAAATCTAACTTTACACACCGATCTAAAAATGAAATCAATCCATGAAGAAGCAGTAGCCTTTTACAAACGATTCCACTCTAAACTCCCTTCTCATTCCAACCNACTCTCACTATTCCTGGGAATTCTCCCAGAAGGCTCAAAAGGAAATGGTGTCGAGACCTCCTCACTGTTTGATCTAAAATAAAGAAAAAAAAAACCATCAAGTAAGGGTAGTGTTACCACTGGGTGACACCTCTCATCAATTCATTCATGTTTTTATTTTTTTTCATTTACCACATATTCTTATTGTTTCTCAAGGAACAGATTGTATATTTCGTATATAAAATATAAAAATAAAAAAAAAAAATCAATTGTTCAATAATTTCGAGCTGATCAGTTGTTGATTTTCCTTTACGGAAACCACCCTGATACTCCTCTGTGCACTTTTCAGCTAGTGGCTCCAGATGTCCTAATAGTATTTTTGAAAATACTTAATATGCAGTATTTAGAAACGTGTAACGAACCAATTTTTATAGATCGACACTTGCAATTATTTATTAAAAGAAGAACAGATTTAATTTTCAAATTCATTATATGTTATGATTTATTGCACTCAATTATTAATTTATACAGTAATATGAAGAAGTTCCGATGTTACTAGACGTCTAAACTCTTAGAATATACACAGGTGTTACGACCGGCGTGAGAAGTTCGTTCTAAGATCTAAGTGTAGACACGTCTGCCTGGGGCCTGTTCCAGATCCCCTTTTATATGCTGGTTTTCTGGACCGCGTGGTGGCGTGATGTCGAAAGCGGCACTGTTATTGGCTGATCGAGAATGGGCCTTTGATCACGTCATTGGACATTCTTGGATGTACGGCGCGCGTGTACCTGTTCTCTACATTAGCATTATATAATATTATAATATTACTCGTATTATAATAATGCTGATTTACAATATTTGTAAAATAGGTATAATATACACCACACGCAACAAACGTTACTCCTCTGTAATTATTGAAATTGAACGTATCACCTTTTTTATATCCTTTTATATATTTTTTTTATAGGTATTACTATGACGGTAATCCACTTTTGCGACAATTCTTCTTTTTCCCTTATTCTATTACAGAAATCATGAATTTTTTTTCAAATCTTTGCCTCCATTCCTCAATAATTCCACTAGGATCTCATCTGATCCTGGGGACTTTCATTTTTTTAGGCTATTGGTGGCTCTTATGGTTTCTTTTATCAATATGTCATCTACTCTTTGCTCAGATATGTCATTCCTCTCTAGTATCGGTGACTGGCAATTCGCCGTTTAGTAAATCTTCGAAATACTCATGCCATCTGGTAGCCTTTTCATGGGGCTCTATCTGGATTATTTTATCATCCTTGTCTCTAATGGCTTTAAAATTTAGGTTAAATGTTTTGTATTTCTTAATCAATATAAAAAAATGTCTTATCTTCTCTTGTGAGTGATCTTGGTTCGTGCTACGTAGTAGTTCGTTTATATATAATCTCTTTTCTCTTTGTATGGCACTTATGTACTTCTTCCGTTCATGTTTGAAGGCCTCTTTTGCTGCCTGTGTTTGTGCTTTAAGATATTTTAGTTGTGCTTCATTTTGTTGGGAAAGGGCGTTCGTTTTTTACATTTTGTGGTACATTATAGTTTCATTTGGTTTCTTACCTCTACAAGCGTATTTTTTGCAACTATTACAAGGGCGTTCGTGATTATACTCTAATTATCAATATCATGGCCTACTCGTCTTACCAATAGTTCTTTTTTAACTTCTTGAACGAAATTGTCTCTGTCTTCCTTGCCTTTGATGGTTTCTAAATTGAATCTGGGTGTTCTAGTTCTATCCGTACCCTCCTTTTTAGTTTGAGTATGATTCTGAAGATGAATAGGAAATAGTCTATGTTACAATCACCCTCGATAGCTTCTCACATATATTACGCTATATCTGAATCCAGTGTCGACGAGCACGTGATCAATTTGATTTACTGTTCGTCCGTCGGGGAACTTTCAAGTTTCTTTATGAATATTTTTATGTAAAAATATTGTACTATTGATCGCCATCCTCCTAGATGCAGCTGAAACTGATGAATCTTTGTCCATTATTATTGTTTAACTTATGTGTACTATGTGTTCCCATTATTGGTATGAAAGAATAAGAATATAATTGGTATTATTGGTCTCTCTTCCTATTTTTGCAAGGCAATCACTTACTAAACTCTATGACTTTGATCATATTTCTAGATACGTGATTATAAATTCTTAATAGCTCGTCGTAGAAGTCATCCTTATCTGTTTCATCGTTACTTTTAGTGGCTGCATGAACGTTCATAATGAAAATATTCATGTGCATTGTACTAAGTTTTATGGTACATAAAAGTTCCGATATTGGGTTAAATTTTTTAACACAGGTCGAGAGCTCTTTGTGTACAGCAAATCCTGTACCAAACTGATATATATCATCTAAACCTTTATAGTATATGGCATAGTTGTCAACTTTAGTTTGTCCAGCTCCGGTCCATCTTAACTTTTGTAGTGCCGCTACATTTACATTGTACTTTTTTAAGGAACCTGCTTAGGTCTGATATGCTCCCGTTCTATACAAGTTTTAAATATTTCAAGTTGCAATCTTTATCTCTTTGTGTTTCCGTTTTCCGTTATGTTTCGATATTCCAGGTGATCTAGTAATTATCCGAGGTAATTTTGGTGGTTCCTTAACAGGTTTCTTTGAGCTACCTATAGAAATTTTAATTTTACGAGTTTTATATGAAATTTTTATTAGGTAGGTACTGTATGGTAAAATTGTTAGACTAAACAGAAATGCGTAAAAGTTTAACAAGAGGTTCATTAAAAGTTTTACTTTGTGGTCAAAAAAAATTCAGTTTAATGTATATTTTTTCATAAGGGTATTTAATGTAAAAATTTTGACGAAAATCGTTTGAGTAAAAATTATTGAATATTGAATGTTATAAACAATAAATTTATTTAATTAAAATCTAAAACATAAAATATATAATGTCAAATTCAATGCCAACTCAAATTCAAATGAGGTTTTTGGTTTATTTTATGACTCTTGATCTAGAATTATGATCGGGCAAGTTCATCAAATCCTTAATCCATAAAATCGCTCATCAAAAATGGGAAAATATCGCGGTTCAATTAAACATATTAAATAGAGCAGAGCTAAGATCAATGAAGAAAGTAAGTTACTTTGTTTTGTGTAAATATTTATTTTATAGTTATAATTATTTTTTTTCTAATTTACAAATCTATACTTAGCTGAAAATTTGTAAAAACACTTCTCTGTGTTTATACAGGAAAAGTTGCGAATAAAACTTTAAAAACTAAAGACTAATTTCATTATATTTTATTATTAATTTCTTTTACCAAAGAATAACTCCTTAAATTTACTAATTTTCATTTAATGCCAAAATGTTATTTTATTTTGTTATTTTAATTTTTAACTAATAGTTATGGAAGTAATTTATTTTACCAAACTGTTATTTATTTTTTATTTGATTGTTATGCAAGTTATTATCTTTGGTTTTTATATTTTACTTTTCGTATATACATGTTAATATTATATGACACACATTTTATTTTGTCTTTTATTAATAATAAAGATCATTACATATTTATGAGTTTTATTATAATTTAAGACAGTTAAACAAATTATCAAGAATTTTTCCAAGAAATTATTAAGAAAAAATATAGTAATAATAATATATTTATAAAACATTTCTTTGAAATAAATATCTAATTAATCTATTTCTTTGTTTTCTTACTAAACTTAAATCTACATTTTGATTGTTTAAATTAGGCAAGATTTCTTGATCTTCCACCATCCCCAAGTTATTAAGCCCTTCATCATTAATTTCATTAAACATAGGAACGTTGTTTGTAATACACATATTGTGCAGAACTATACATACATTGATAATGGATGAAACTTTTTCAGGTTTATAGCGTAAAATCCTATCTTTTAATAAACACCTAAAAAATATATAAACATGTTTGTTGTCAAAATTAGGTAAAAAAATATATTTCAAAAGAGATTTTACCTAAATCGCATTTTTAATAGTCCATTACAGTGTTCAATTATACTTGATTGACAATTACCTTTTATTAAAATATTCCTCGGCTTCAGTGGTAAGATTTGATATTGATGTTAATGACCATTTACGCAACGAATATCCAGAATCACTTGATATTATTTTTAAATTAATAATAATAAACCTAACTGTATTTATCAATAAAGATTTAAGAGAAATGATATTCAATAAATCAAATTTACTATAATTGCGTCTGTGTAATTCTTGCAATATTCGAAAAACAGAGCTGTTGTTCCAAATATGTATATCATGATTACTGTTGGGGAATAATGCGTTGTCATTCAATATTTTAAATTTTGAATCACAAATCTAGGATTCAAAATTAGTAACGTTACTATGAATATATTTAGTTATTTTGTTTTTATGGTTCATTCAAAATACTCGCATAAAGTTATTTACATGTTTTGACGAAGGTGATCATCATATCTCGGTGGATAATGTCGTTTCTGTCATACCGGTAAGCTGCGACAATGGTACAGAGAGCGATGTACTGGCAACGTTGTATAATCTCAATATTGGACTTGTTGGCACAACCACACAGTTGAATTCCATAAGTCCATATTGGTTTAATTATCATTGCGTACAAAAGGCGTTTGCTTGTGGGGTCTAGTTCGGAATGTTTTCCGACCAGCCAATATAGTTCTCGCATTTTCTTCTTAATTTGCAGTTTTTTCTGTCTAACGTGGTGCTTCCAGTTGAGCCGAGAGTCCAGATGCATTCCTAGATATTTTGCTGAGTCACACTGTGGGATGCTTTGCTGATCTAGTAATACCGGTTTATAGATGTTTTTACGCAAGGTGTAATTTACGAGAACCGATTTTTCACTGTTAATTTTAATCTTTCAACGTTTCGTCCAGTTGGAAACGTTGTTGATGGACCTTTGAAGCCAATAAGTCGCAGTCTGCTGGTCTTCATTTGTTGTCATTATTGCCGTGTCATCAGCAAACATGGCTGTCATTGAATAGTTGTTGGTTGGAATGTCCGCTGTGTAGAGTAAGTACAGATCCAAGGACGCTTCGCTGTGGTACACCCGATATGTTTTTCCAATCAGTTAATTCTTCGTGAATGACCCTGAATTTACGTTCAGTTAGGTAGGATTCGAAAAGTGCGCACAAGGCGTGTGGCAACTGTTCACGTATTTTTATAAGTAATCCTTTATGCCAAACTTTATCGAAAGCTTGTGCCACGTCAAGGAATACTCCACAGCAATACTCTTTTTTTCAAGCGTTTTGCTTATTACGTTGGTGATACGATGGACCTGGTCAATTGTTGAGAGTTTATTTTGAAATCCAAACTAATGTTCCGGTATAAACTGTCTTTCTTCTATCAACGGTTTTAAGCATTTTAGAAGTAGTTTTTCGAATAATTTTGAGATGCTTGGAAGAAGCGAAATTGGTCTATATGAAGTTACTTGGTGGTTTTTCTGGTTTAAGTTTAAGGATCACTTGGGCTCGTTTCCATTGTTTAGGAACGTATTTCATACGTAGGATGGCATTGTATTTGTGTGTTAGATAAATCATAGCTTTTTTAGATAATTCTTTCGGGATTTTCGGGTTAATTTGGTCGTACCCAGGTGCGTTTTTTGGGTTGATGTTCATATCAGTTTCTTTTGCCATTTCAACTGGAGTAAAATGCTTTATCTTATCGCGTGTTTCATTTAGTGGTTGACAATGAGCTATGTAGAGTTCAGAAACCACTTCGTTTGGTTGAAATATACGTTCTAAATTACGTTTATAAATAAAATCTAAATAAAACGTTTCTAAATTCCAGATCTGGTTGCATAGGTCCGTCTATGGCTGTGCGCATCACGCGACGGTGGGAACCAACGGTACGCCGTTACACGAGCGTATGACCTACTTAATATTATTATGTAGACACTTACCAATTTCCGATGAGAGCGTGGTAAGCATTTTGATGTTATTAAATTACTGAAAGAAAAAACAACGGGAATGACGGCACTCGAAAGCGAGAACATACGTGTTGCTCGTTCAGCAAACAAATCGCGACTACATATATACATATATTCGGTATGTTGGTTTTCCTCAAAGTTTAAATTTGTTGAAGGAGGTATGATTGCAACATGTGTACAGTCAATACAGCCGATAACGCCAGGAAATCCTATATCTAGGTAAAAACTAAAATATACAAAATTTATAGAAATAACTTCCAATTTATTTAATAAACAAATTTAACTAACCCATTACGGATATCAATGAGTTCATTTACAATTTTTGGAAAATTCACCCAACATTGAATATTTCGGACAAGTTTAGTGCAACCACAACCTCGTTTATATAACGAGATACAGATGGTTGTGATAGAGCCATAGATCTACGGTTACCAATAAGGGACTGGTATGTGGCTGTAGCCGAAATATTTAAAATTACAAAAATCTCATTAATAAATAAATTATAATTTATAAACGATATAAAACATTAACTTAAACTAGAAATAAATAAAACAAAATCAACCCCAAATAGAATAATGACCATTTACTTACTTTAGTATTCACATCAATCGCAAATGAGCGGAATCTATTTGCAATTATATGAAGCCTTAATAGTTCAATTAAGTCTCTAACAAAGGCTTTAGTTGGTCTGAAATTTTTTACAAATAAACGATTAGTCCAAAAAAAAAATGGTTCCATGACCATGTCTCGATTTCGTGTTTGTCTTTTAGAATAAATATTATTATTTTGATTTTCCTCGATGTTATTAACAGTAAACAATTTTGCCATTTCATCAACATTGGCCATTAGTAGTTATTATATTAATGTAATAAATAAAATAGTTTTAACTCGAGCACAAATGCACAATACACAAATTTAATAATAGTTGTTATAATTTTAAAATTATTAATTGATAATATATTGATAAGATACTTTATCATGCAATATAGGCTTGTCACCGACGTTGTACCAAGTCAACTTATTAGTCGAATATTCATCGTTCAACTACAGTCATACTATTCTTTTTTCCAGTGATTATTTTCATACGATAATATTGTTATCACATGCGACAAAGTTTGTCACGATTTCAATAATCGGCCTGTAAAAAAATGCAGAAGGTATATATATCATACGTATACTATATCATTATTAGGAATAAGTGTAATGTTCTCAAGTGCATTCTTTTTCAGTCTTATCTAATATTTTAGTAGAGGTTATAAATAGTAAATAACTTATGTTTTCATAATCAACCAAAAATGAAAATAAAAATTATAATAATTTTGTGATTTGATTATGCCAGTGAGTATACCACAATAACCAGAAGATATACGGTATTTATTTGTAATGATCAGAAAGTATACGGCGTATAGTGACGTGCACTCTTCACTGCAGCTCTTGTTATGTGATAAGGAATTACCATCAACACGTTAATTCTTTGCCTTCGATTGAATATTAATTGCATTTATGCCTATTTTATAAAAATTAAAATGGCTATAATTAAGAAACTATTAATCGAATAAGAATGTTGATACATGTACATTAAACATTTTTGAATAATATTTTTTTACAAAATTACTATTTTGTAAATGTTCATAAGTGAATAAATAAAGATTTGTTTTTATGTTTATGGGATGAATATCATTATTTTTATAATAATAAAAATGTAATTTTTCTCTAAATCGATGTCCCCCTCAAAGATAAACAGATTGAAAAAAAAAATCCAAACAAATTTAATATTAACAGCGCTAGAAAAATCCGTCGAACACTGTGAAACACACTGTATATATATAATTTGTTCAGTTTATTCGATCTTAATTTCTCAAACTATTTTCCTTGGACTTTTTTACTTAATTTCGCAAAATGACAAGAGCCACGAGCGGTCGCAGCGAAATCATAGACAGAATAGGAATGAAAACATAATCTTTTATGGCTATGGTTGGAACCAAGAGTTAAGACGTGATACCCGCATGTGCTGTTTCAGTCCAACTAACAGGAAGTATAGCAAAATCTACCTACGTAGTTCTTAGTTGTACAACTTTCTTTCTACGTTTTTTCCCAACAACAAACTATATCCAAAATGCAACAAAAAAAGTTTTGTTTACAGAAATATTAACACTTATCAGTATTAATCAACAAAATTAAATATTAATCATGAAATATAAATTTATATTTAAATAATAAAGGTTAATATAATATCATACTAGGTACTTACTCAACTTAATATGTAAGAAGCACGAATGTATCGCACTAAGTAGTTGTCAGCAAAATTAAAAATGATGACTTGACATGAAGGCAGTATGAAGATATGCAATTTCAAGTGTTTAATCGAAAACACAATAGGCGGGACATTAATAGTGGGCTGGTGGAGCGGAAGTGATCCGACCACATCTTCTAAGACCGTGGGTGGAGCATTACTATATGGGGCGACAGTCACGGCGCGCATGCGGATTGTGCACTAGCACGTTTCACTCGAAAGTATGACAAAAACAGATGTCCGTCAAGTTGGCACCGGCACATTATGCTAGGGCTCTACAACTATTATCAATATTTTGCTAGGAGTTTGCTAAATTTTGCTATGGCCCAAAAACTTCGGAAATCCACAAACAAACATGCCGGTGTTATCTTTGTGGCTGACCAGCACATTGTCCGATCCAAAAAAAAAATTATGCCAATATAATATTCCGAAGATACCTGGTTATTGCGCTGAACCCATAGAGTTATATTACTCTATGGCCGAACGCCAATCAAACTATTTGAAACGTGATATGATAACCTTACTGTCCTTACTTAGTATGATAGTATATAAATTATTAAATTTGTTTTAATTAAAAAAAATGTTAAACAAGTATAACCTAGTTACTATATAGACAAATATATAGATAAATATTACTCACAGAAGAAAAAAAATATGATTTCCTTGGAATTGTATATAAAATATATTATAAATATAAATATATATATTATGTATTATTATAAATCAAGAATTTGTTGTATTTATATATACTATGTTTTATAACATAGCTTAGATGCATAGTTATAATCCTAAGCAAGTTTGTATTATTTATGATTACATTATCACCTTATATTTTTTTTTAAATAAAATATAGATAAACAAATTTTGTTCGTTTCGGCTAGGTAACCAGGTATTTCTAGTTTTTTTTCAAAATTTTTAGATAAAAAAAAAAGTACTTGAGATTATAAATATCTAAATCTATATTATATTTATTGTTAGCTCTTTGTATGTAAAATTTAAATCTATTTTTACAATTTTCATACCTTCATTAGAAATTTAATTATTTAGTTTTTTGTACCTCCTAAACAATTTCTTAAACATTTCTTAAAGGAGATACTTGGTTCTTGCACCGGAGCTCTCAATTGTAAGTGTAGATATCTATCATTATTATTAATATAATATTTGAAAACAATGTATGAACTAGCATTGGAGACAAAATGACATAAATATTATACGACTAGACTTTAAATAAAATAAAAAGTATAAATATGGTGTTATGCTTTGGCTATAGCTCAACAAATAAAAATAAAAATTTATGTAATCAATGATAAATCGGTTGTAAAGCAAATAAGTCAAATTTGACTTGGTTGTAGGTTTTTTTATAACAAAATGGTTAAATATTATAATTGAAAGTAGGTGTACGAACAATATTGTTAGTACCTAGGTATAACAAATAATAATAATAACAATATAGTGATAAATTTTATTTTATTATATTGATCAAAATGAAATTTGTTTAATAGAGGTTACAATGAATATCAAATATAATTAAATTTGTAAGAAATAAAGGTATTAGTAAACATTTATTACAACCTTTTCTTTTTGTGCACAACTTTTCAACCAGAAATTTTGCTCAATATTTTAAAAATATCTATGTATTTAAAAAGAAATTTCACTAGCGAAGTACTTTAGGGAGGTCATTTATCGATTTTTCCGAGAATTTTCCCAGAAAATGTGAAAGACCGGGATTACAAAATGGGAAAACCTGAAAAATGTAAGAAAATTGGGAAAATCGGTACAACATTAAACATATATTATTAAATAAAATATATAAAGCCTATTTAATTATTTTATTATAAAATGACATATGCATTGTTGACAAAGCATCACTATCAACTAAACTCCGTTCAAATCGTGTTTTCATAAGTAATGGTTTATTGTTGTGGCTACATCCGTCCCCATTATCCTAAAACGTCTTTTTAGAAGTGGGGGGACTGGGGTAATGCACATATAAAATAACGCATTTTGTGATAAAGAATTATAATCATCAGCACGGTAATTTTTTCCCTTCTTTTGAATATTAATTTGTTTTCATGCTTATTTTCTAAAAATTAAAACATTTATAATTATGAAACTATTTATCGGATACGAATGTATGTACATTAAACATTTTAGAATAATTATTTTTCACAAAATAACCATTTTGAAAATGTTTTAAAGTGAATGAATAAAAAGTAATTCTTTTGTGTTTAGAGGATGAAAATACAAATTTAATATTAACAACACTAGAAAAATCCGTCGAACACGGTGAGACACACTGTATATCATATGTTATGTTTAATTTTGTAAACTCGGTTAATATCGCTATATTTATACTTTTTGTAAATAAAAACCTACAAACACAAAACAACATGCTTACCCTTAAGCTAGTTAATAGGCTGATACTCTCCAATATTAAAATGAACAGCAGCTCTCTTTGTGCTATTTATAGACATTTTAATTTTTCGAGTTGTTTACGTAATTTTTATTCGGTACGTACTCTGTAGATAACATTGTTAGACAAAACACAAGTTCTTAGTGGTCAATAAGAAAAAATTGAGTTCAATGTAGTATTTTTTTTTTTTTATATATAAATTTTAATATCAAATGTTGACGAAAAACATAAATATTACTGTATTTTAAAACACATATAACCGAACTCCATTCAGAATCGTTTTTCATTAGCAATGATTAATCTTTGCGTACAGATATACATTAAATTCCCCTTTATATCTTACCTTCCAAATTTCTCACCTATAACAGTGATTTATCCATCGTGCGAAGTATGTCAATATTTTTTTTATTGCAATGATTTATAATTGATTTTAGTATACAAACCAAAGCTTAAATCTTGTGTACACCTAGCAATAAATGTTTTTTAGTTTTATTTCTTATGCATTACTATAGTTATATATCTCCGCACCTATAAATTAATCCACGTACCATGTTAACCGTACCAAATTAAATACCTACCAATTAAATAGCCGCTCACTCCAACACTTCCTTTCCTCCTCTTTTAACTCTCTTCTGTCCCTAATTAATATCCCATTTAAAAAGTTAAAATTTGAATATTTTAGTAATACATGATCGTGTATCCTTTAAGTTAAAAGCAAATAAAACTAATTAAATACTTACACACAGTGACAATTTAAGGGTTTAAATAAATTTGCAAATCGATAAGAGGTGCCTTGTACAAAATGTATTAGTAACATACTTACTTCCATTTTATAAAACCGATCGCTTCGCTTGCGATAGATAGTAACCAATCAATATTAATTTTATAGTAATAAATTATCTTACTAAAATAAAAATTACGAAATTTTTACGAATTAAACTAAATTAATAGTAGATGTATAAAATTAAATTACAAAATTATAGCTAGAACCTCTGCGAACTTAAGCCTAGGAAAACTTGTTGATAAGATCGTTTATATCAAGTTATATTATTTTATACTTCATGGAAAATAAAGCTAAATTTTTTGTTAAAGTAAAATAAAATTAATATGTGTTCTATTTTGTAGTCGCCTCACTCTATGATTCTCCAACATTACAAAATGCTCATATACAAATTAAAGAATAATTTTTGCATACGTGTTTAGTTAGTCTGTTAAATAATACATAATTTTAATAACTTTGTTTGTTATTAATTTATTACATGTATTATGTATTATCATTATATTTATTAATTATTAATATGCCATAATTATTAATTTGATTATAATAAAATTTATTAACAACCAATGTTGAACAAATCTTAATCTGATGAAAGATTACAATTTAAATTTTTAATAGTTAATCATTATATAAATTAATGAAATCAATAATTACAATAACAAATTATATTAAATAATCAAAGAAATAATGTCAAGAATTGATGAATAACAGCTATAATTCTAGATAGATAAACATTATTTTGCTTTTCGTGTCCACTATTCGAAGGTTTTCCATTTGAAAAATAATGAAAATGGCCTGTTACCAAAAAAACGTCCCATATTGGAAGATTTTCATTAGAGGTTGTTTTACTGTAATACCAATAGATATTTTATTCCATTATAAAGTTATACTTATTCTGTATTCGTCTATATACTTCTTATCTACAATCCATTACATGTATAATATATTAATGTATTTGTATACAGGACCGTGCTAAGAGGATGTTTCAGAAGAAACTTTCCTAAGGCGCTGGAGATACCATAAATGTATGGGACACCAAATTTTAGAAACTAAAAATACTATGATGAATATCCTAGAGCATCAATAACAGTTAACATAGTTTTGTATGTAAATAGTTGTAGTTATGTGATAAATTTGGGGATAATGATTAATGAATACAAATATGTAATCATGATAACTGATTATTTTAAAAAATGATTAAATAGTTAATAACTATCGTAATTTAATAAATTAATCATAATCTTAATAATAATTTAATCTTAAAATAATCTATTACGCCTAACACTATTACTATATAGTTATATATATTATATTGTGATTTAAGTTTTAAATAAATATTAAAAAGTAATTTGTTTTTCTAACAAGCCATTATCATAAATGAAAGAATATTTTATTATCTTAAATTTGAAAAAATAACTTTTATCATACGATAGTTATAGATACTTTTCTACAAAATGTAAACTTTTAGAAGGAAATCTAACTGAGGAATTACTTTATGGATGTTATTTTTTTATTTCACAAGAAGTTTTCATTATAAACGAGAAAAACCAAAAAAACACATAGGAAAAACGGAAAAATAGGAACACTATTATAAAAATATGATTGAAAAAAATATATGATGCATAAGTAATTATTTTTACCGTAATATGACATACATATTGTTGAAAAAGCAACACTGTTAACTGAACTTGGCTCAGAACCGTTTTTCATTAGCAATTGTTAATTTTTGCATACAGATATACATTAAATTACCTATAACAAAGGCTTCCCTGTCCCTGTTATCCTAGGATGTCTTTTTTTTTACAGATATACATTAAATTTCCCCTCTACCTTCCCAACTTCTCAACTATAACAGGGACCCACTCATGTGCGAAGTATGTGTGTCTTTTTTTTAATTGTGTATATTTATTTTGTGATAACTGTTAAGTGATCAACTGTATCCAAGGATGGACAACCCCAGGCTAGCTGGTGTAATTCGAAAAATGATTTGAAAAGTTTGCATTGATGCGTTTTCAAATTAATTTGGTCAATAACTTTATGACAGTTGAAATTGAAAATCAAGTATTGCTTTAATTAGAATTGTTCGAGTTGCAAATAGATCCATTGTTTTTTACCAAAGAGATTGACATGTGTTTTTGGAAAACATTACTTATTGAAAAATATCCACTTTTAGGAGATTTTACAAAAAATAAAAATGTTATTCATGTTTGAAACAAAATACATTCATGATTGTACATTTTCTAATTCAAAGCATATCAAATAAAGAGAGGTATTATATTATAGATGAAACATTAAGACACCTAATTTGTGTTTCTGCTTCAGAAATACAAGTTGATTTTGCTGTTATCATCTGCAACCACGCATACTCAAAACCTGCATTAAACCAGTTGTACAAGCTATACAAAATAAGTTAATTAATACAAAGTACAAATTGTGGAATGGAACTAGTGGGCTATAATAGAACATCTAAGGAAAGTAAAAAAAAAAAAAAAATAATTAGTTAAACTTTATTTTATTCATTATTATCACATACATAATAATGATATAAATACATGCATATTAAAATTTAATATAGTGTCAAATATAAATCCAAAATATTGGTGTTCACAGTATTTTTTCAGAAATTACTCATGCACATAATATTTTAGGCATCTAAACGAAAATATTGTGAGTACAATCAAAAAAAAAAAAAGTCTTAATTCAATTGTTTATATAAATTATTTATTTGTAATGCCGGGCATATGATAATACATTATTGTAATAATAAGACCATTTTAAACTAATTTGATTCCCCATGCCACACACACTTATGCAAATGGAACAGATAAATAAAACATAAAATAATAAATAAATAATATTGGTCCAAATGTGATACAACAAAGTAATTGTGATTATATATTTTGATATAATAACAATTATAAGAAATCTATGTATATTAAATTAAAAGTGAATATTATTGAATTATTTCTATGCTTTAAAGTTCAATATAATATTTATATACATTTGAATCAGTAATATAATAGTGAAACTAATTATATAATAATCATAATATAAGAATAATAGTAGCGAATTGGTGGAAGAGAAAAAAGGATTGTAATATGAAATCTGTTGGTGTGTTTGATCCACTCTGATATTTCTATTGGGATACATAACACAATAGCCAATATATTACAAAAAAAAAAAAAAAACAACAACACTATAATAATAATAATAATAATAATAAAATGTTACACCCTTTAACTAAATTGGGTTCGAAAAATAAAATATAATAAATACATAGTTATAAGCATGAACAAAAATAAGACATGTAAAATTAGGAAGTAAAATCTAAAATATATTTATATATTATAAAATATCCTTAGACACTGATATACATTACAATATAGAAGTGAACCTCATTATTTGTTATTGAAAGTTAGCAAAATTGTTATGAATATATTTTTTTTTACAAAAATGGAAAATGGAAAATGGAAAATTTATTGAAATAATTCTAACAGAAAAAACTATCTAAAAAATAATGGTCACTATTTTTTACCTCTTTTCCTCTTTTTATTTATGGGTTCAATTTCCACATTTCTTCCACCATTCATTCGTATAAAAGCGGTGGGATGTTGAACTTTATCTACATGGCCAGATTTACAGGTTTGATTTTCATTGACATCTATCAGTACTGGTGGGAGCGGACAATCAGGACTGAACCTCGCCGTTTTGCCATTGTGGTCCGGCGACCCGTTACCATACTTGGAACCTTGGTCTTTGAATACGAAAAAGGGTTTCACAGATTTGTTTGCAATATCCATGCCTTTATCGTTGTCTGAAGAAGCAGCCAAGGCATTCTCTGCGACATTACTATGACGTTGATTGTTGTTGACAATCCGCTTGCCATGGAACTCCACATGATCGGTGGGATCCACGGTTTCAAGGTTGCCATCACCTTTGGAAGACGCGGCGAATGAAGAGAGTACTGTACCGGTTGACCGTAAAAAGTGTACATGGATGTGGTTGTTCAGGTCAGCATCTCTATGTGTTTTGTATGTGCAGAAACGACAAGCAAACTTCCACGGTCTTCTCGACATCGTGGATAATATCCCGCCAGAGGATGGGTTTTCCATGTGATGCAGGTTGTGCTGGTCTAGCTGGTCACGGTCTTCACCTTCATATGGACACATAGTACACCGGAACATAGTAATGGGTTCCCCAACAATACCGTCAGTCACAATCCCAGTGGACCCATACGCAGCATTCAACTCGTACGCTGTTTGTCGGTCTGATATTTCATTTCGGAACATCGTAGTTTGTGGATTTAATTGTAAGACCTTTGAAGCGATTTTTGGCGGCTCCCATTTCTTGATCATCGAGATATTCGGATAATTTT